TCTCTATGAATCTAATAGAATTAGGGTTAATTTTCAAATGAATTTCATATCGACATAGAACAGATTTCAAATGTCTATTTAAATATACATATGTATATATGAGGTGTATGCTACTTATGTTGACAGATATAAGTAGTATATAGTACTAATCGACAAAGGAAGTGCTTGTCAACAGAAGTTTAAGAAGAATGAATTGAAAAGAACAGAAATAGAAACAGAGAGAAAATTGGAATAACAATTGAATTCGAAAAATGAAAAAGTATATACAGCATAACTGAAAGAGTATGAATAATTTACTTCATGTATAATTTTCATATTCTACTAAACCATTGTATTGTTATGTCTTGCTGATTGGACGTTATATTCGTTCAGAAGCTATTCTGATAACCCACACGTTAGAACTATACAGCGTTGAAGTTCTCCGAAATTCGACTCAACATGTATGATTTTGCATTAAACTACAAAATTGATCTTCGTTCATTATATCCATAATTGGAAAATATAAGCTAATTAGTTAGAATATCATAGAGACAGAATAAATCAATAATGGTAGGATGTATCCTTAGGATACAATTTTTCTCTCTTCAAATTATTGCCTATAATGAATATCTATATACATAGATAAATTAATTTTTCCTACTATTTATAAATGTAAAGAGCTTTTATTAATATTAAGACTTGAATGAATTTGATTGTAATATTCATTATTCTATTTTGAATAATTTTCCATTTTCAAAATAGAGGTTTATGAAGATTGTAACAGTTGAATTGATGGATCGATCTAAGCTAGAACATCATTGAAAAATGTGGAAGTACTGGATGATTGTTTCGTTCAAGTATGAGACTCCTAAGCAGTTTTACCATTTGTTATTTTTAAGATGGTGATGATGATGCTGAATAATTAATTTATAGTAAATGATGTGAACAGTGAAATAAGAAACCTTGACAAGCTACGGGAGCTATTTTTCGGGACGTTATTTTATTTAATTCAAAGTTTGTAAAATATTAACATTTATTTTTGTCCCTTATCTATTCTACAGAACATAAGCTTTTGTTTGATGTATGATTCACTGTCATAGCCCTTTTTGTTCCAAAGTTATTGTAATTTAAACGTATTATTTTGTACTATTTTCTACGCTTATCTCCAGTTTTGGACATAATTGTATTTTCCTAGTTACTGTACATTGTGATTGGGTTAGTTATCTCTTTATTCATGTATCTTTTTACACTGATCTGAAATCGGGAACCAGATTGGGATTGAGAATAAATCGAGTAGTGTTTCAATTGATTTGTCTTCTCTCATTTGTGTGCTTGTCAACCAATCAGGTGATAGAATAGTTCTCTTCTCTCTACCCCACTTCGAACTCAAGCTTACTAACTTCATGGTTAAGCCGGTCAGCCTATCGCGTCAAGGTCTTAATCTAGATTTGACAAGTTATCCTCAGCACCAAAAATGGATAAACAGATCAAGGACATAACAGTAAAAAAAACAACGGAGGAATTCTTTTTAAATAATGTTTCGTTTACTAAACAAGGTGGTTTATTTATGAAATGTGCATTTGTTGGGGACGTTAGATCCCCAAAACTCAGATTTTGTAATTTTATCTTTGTGGACTTGTATGCAGATGTATACTTGGGCATTTCTTACCACCCACGCACATAGTCGATTGACGAACTTATCGATTATATATTTTTTGTATAAATACGCTTGATTTGTGTGCTTGATGGACCTGGTATCTTCTGGTTGGCTGTAGAATACACTTTCTACATTTTACCAAAACTTCTGGATCGAGTTAGCTGAGTCTAGGTCCACGGGCCAGTATAGCCTATCGAGTCTCTAAATCCTTGATTCTTCGTTCCGTTCTGCATAAGACAAATCAGTAGTAGCATTCATGTTTAACGAACATAACAGCATTGTTCTTCTAGACATTATTATCAGAAGAATTGATTTATTACAATTTCACTAAATTTATATTGTCAAATTTCGTTTATGAGTTATAATTGAGAAAATCTTGAACTTTTGAACAGAGCCATGAGATGAACTTGATATTTATAGATTAATTAACAAATTGAAATGGACTAGAAGTTACATTAGCTCTGAGATTCAGACTAATCAATTGAGTCATATGGAAAATACAAAATTACAGCAAAGTATTTGTCGATAAAATTAACCCATTATTAATGATAATATAAGTAGTTCATTTTACAAACTGCAGTTCATACAGTGTTTTAAGCTTTTACATGGATCAATGTATGATGGACAAGGATGTGTTTCAATAAACAAAGTAACAATAATGAAACTTAACAAATCGAAATGAGAACTAAATATGCAAAATATGACAAACCATTAAGAATTTCAAGGGGATACAATTAAAATAATAAATAGAGTAGAGTACATGTCATAGATTCATTGGACATATCATAAATGATAAAAAGAAAGGAATGTTCTCAACTATTAGTTCGAAAATGATTGATAATGATAAGAAGTTACGAAATTCTGTATGTATTATGATATTATAGTGACTCACATTTATCACGAGAACACGACTGGTTTAATAAAAACAATTATTATTATAACCAATTGTATTAGTGTTTGTTTTAATGTGCTTTTGTTTGACTGTGCTAATGACAGATATATTGTGCTTCCATTCTTATCCTTACACTTCGATTGTAACTTCGCGCGAACTCGGTTACGTTCTGTAACCAAGCTTGTAACCTGGCACGATCTCGGTATCCTTTCGATGCCACGAGATCGCCAACAAATAAACCTCGACTTGGTCCATTAATTGCCTTCTGATATTTGGCTTCTCGGGGATTTTATGGAGTCATTTGGAACGAGCTTCTTGGTAGCGGTGTTCATAGTCAATCTTCACTCGACACCACGCTACAATATAATACACAAAATATCAGACAAGGAGAAGATAAAAGTATAAAACTTAAGTAAGAATCAACATTCAATCTACCATTTGATCATGAAAATAATTCATACCTTTAAGGTTAAATGTCAACCAAATAAATTGTCATTCATTCACTACAGAATGATTCAATTCAATCAAATAACACAATACCAATAAAATCTCTCTTTTTGTGAATTACTATATTCAATTTGCACACTTGGAATGTTTTGTAACAGTTAGTAAGTAATTTATACTTTCATAGATTATTCTAGTTTTTTTTGCCAGAACAATTAATCTATTCTTTTTATGTCATAATCCACACACACATATATATGACCTTGGTATTATTTTCATAATATTGGTTGCTTTTCGCTAGGTTTGAAGCTATCATGAGTTCACTTAATCTACGACTGAGAAGCAAGACTCGGTGACCAAACACCAGTAAGTTAGCTATTGATGCGTCCCAGCCTCGCTGACTAGAGAGAGAAGTCCAAACTTGGAATGGGAAGTATATTCTGCAAAACAGCTAGAAACGAGCGGTAACAAGAACCACGATTCAAACGTATATATACAGTGCAAACCCGTCCTTGGGGAGAATTACCAAATAGCATACTGAAGGACACAACGGACCAATAGAATTTAAGATATTTCCCAATGGGAAATATGACATGAAGGAGACAAGAGCGGCTTTGGCGCGAAAACAAAGAAATTCAGATTTTCTAGATAAAATTACAAAATTAGGTCCTTTCCCAAGTGAGTTCTGGGAATATAACGTCCCCAACACTTTTATATAAACGTATAAGCGGATATGTGCTTATTGCTTACACTCTTCGTCACATATATTTAGCTTGTTTTTCTATCTGATTATAAATAATAAGTCAGGCTTTATTTAAATGACTTGAAGCATTTACTTTTTCTGTTCTACTTCATTCCTCTTATCTTCTGTCATCCATGAATTCGACTTGTTTTATACGGTTATTCAGTAATGAAAATTAAGTTAATGCATAAATATGAGGCTAAACAGGATACATATTTCGTTAACATCGTAATTCCATCATAGTGTAATCAGATAACGGGCTTATAGTTTCTCCTGTAATGTAGTATTTTTTTTCAACATTTAGTTTGGTGTTTTCCATTTGTACCAGAAAAATGTCAATGATTATAGAACTTGGTGGACTGCTTATTGTAGCATCTGTTTATTGAAAATGCTTTAAATTTAGTTAAAATTACACATATTATATCAAGAGTCTTCTAGTGAGATTTAAGTAAATAAGGTCTCCACACCAAATGAAATCGCATACTTTCCTCTTAAGTTGATATTAACAACTCAAAGTCAAAACTGTCTCTCAGACTGTATACACATATATATTTTCTTATGGATCCAATCAACTGGGCAAGCCATCGAGCAAGCTTTATGGTACAGTGTATTGCTTATGGCTAGGACTGGTCGTAGAGGCATAGCATTTTTAAGAGTTTTGGGTACACCATACAACCTCGGTACATAACAACCTCATGGTTTTAAATAACCACAGGTCGATTCATCTGGTATTTCTACTTCAGGAGCTAGTTCAAAAGCTGACTAATCTCTATTCAGTTTGCTGTCATTTGGTAATTGTCGCATTTTTGAGAGGTATTCATTTTTATACAAAACAGCAAAACTGGAACCTTGTTTATATTTTAAGAAGACCATTCCGTCATTTTTCTTCAGATCATTATTAATGACTTCTCTTTGTTCTTTCGGTAAAGTACCCAAAGAAGCTCCTAGTATGATTGTTTATTGGTTCGTTAAGTTCACGACCCTAACTCTGAGTTAGATTTTTTTTACTATTCGACATGGACTTGGATCACATAACTATTTTTTCGAATTCTGATTTATACTAACATAATTATGAAAAAAACAATTTTTATGGCTTATTAAGTTCATTTTCCAGTCTTTTTCTATATATGAACAAATGCAACTACCTTAATTTCTTGATATTTACCAAGCAAAAATAGAATTCCATACAAGAATTTTTAAGTTACTATTTAAAGTGAAAATTAATTACATGAAAAGTATAGACGAGAAATGATACAATGAATTTTCAGGTTTTTTTTTTTTAATTTGGCATGACAAATAGTATAGGAGGTAATCTAGGAATTTTTGCAAATGTAGATATACTACTTTATAGTAGTATGGTTATTCAACATTAGTTTAGGTGACAATTAAGATGTGGTTCATTTGCAGACAAGTCAGTTTTCTTAGGTCGAATATATAATTAAGAGTAATGGGATACAGAACTGGGCTTCCTAGATGTCAATTAGTTGTATTTCTCTCAGATATGGATATCTATGGTGTATATGTAATGAATATATACGTTCTTATCCCCAGAACACATATGTAACCAACCTTATGAGTTTCATTAATTACCATTTCTTCACTTCTCTGTAATTTAAGGGATGATTGTTAAAAAATACCTCTTATTTGGGATGCGTTGCAGGCTGATAATATAGTGTCAAACCCGGAAAGACTGGTTTATTCTTCTTGAGCCACATTATCCGCTTGTAACCTTGACTGTTTTTATGAGTATGTGCCCATCGCTTACTCTATTCATCACGTCTTGAGTTTATTTTTGTTTGGCTATAAATACTGAGACACGCTTAATCAAATAGACTTGGTATTCTTCCCCTCTCTGCTTCTTATTTCTAATGTCTGTCTGAAATAAATTCATCCAACTTAACCCATATTTGGCTTCCAATTACTACAAATGGGTAGACTAGGTGTAATGTAAGGAGTTAAGTAAAAGATTTATGATGATAGCATATTCATGCGTTCATCCAAATCGGTGTCAGATCAGTGGGCCACAAAGATAACTCATTTTTATAGGTGTATAGTAGTAAAAGCTTCTTCTATATGAACTCAATGCTGGGAGAGTAGAAGGAACCTGTGTCAGTGAACCAGTTGAAAGCCAAGACTACCCCGTAAGCTCTCAGTGTCGATCATGCCAACCTAGGTGTTTTAGTGGTTAAGTCAAGTAATTATTCAATAAAGGGACTTCAGAAGAATGAATCAAGACCTCGTCTGGTGCATCTTCCCCTAAGCTATAGATTAAGGAAGTGTAAGCTGGTGAGTACTCTAACAAAATGGAATGATTACTCAGCAGTTGATCTCTACTCATTAGAAGATAGGTTTAAACATCGATTTTAATGACCAGATAGTGTGGCGGATACAATATGTATGAGTCGGATAATGTACTGAACAAATTACATTAAATTAACCACATTAGGAAGGGTACTTTAGCTGAAACATTAATTCTCTAGAACGGATGAATTGTGACTACCAATGGAGTCCGGGGTACACACATCATCCTACGTGGAACTCGTCAACTGGATATATCGGGATGCGTGTTGATGTTCACATTGATATTTGAAACAAGCACCTTTCGCTTCACACGTTTTTTACTGAGTTTCTGGGTCCAGACAGATTTTAATCACTTTTGAGATATACACAGATTGCTCCAGTATAGCCAAGTTTCTCGAATAGATGGATTGATTAATGCCATGATTTTTCATTCAAAGCTACCGTATTATAATTTAAGGAAGTTTGCAGATGAGTCAGTTAGTTGCAATTTCCTCACTGTTTACAAACAATAATTCATTATTTGGCGCAAATGAAACTGTTAGCAGTAATCATTGAATGCAATAGGCATATAATTAAATGGACGGAAATTTCAAAGAATATTCTGAGGCTTTTAACAAGTAAACTTTTCTTATAGGATCAATGTTATAGATTCATCAGGGCTAAGAGAGAAAGTGCCGCTGCTATCGTAAATCATACCAAAATGATTGGAGGTTGAAGATGATTGTTGAATCATTAAACTATCGACTAACACATAATGTAATAGAAACAGATAATAATCAAGTTATATCTCTACTAATTTTAGTGAAAGAACACAGGTAATACATTACCAATCATTTTTTATATTTCCACAGAATAACGTCATGCTATCTATGCCTTACACTGAACAAGAAAGAACAAATCACATAGACTATTAAGTGAGATAACAAGGAAACTGTAGAATAATACAATACAAAACATGACAATGAAGTCAAAAACATACATTGAAACAAAATCGAAAAGCACTAGGCTATCCTAGTGTATATATTTTCAATTAAAAAACAGAACAACTAGAGAGGAGAAAAAATTAAAAGACTATGTGATTAAGTAAACGATAGAAACATTGCAACTGTTATATACAAAATATCGAGGCAGAGTAAAAAACAAAAAGTCAACTAGATCTTCTTTCATTAAAATTAATTACAAAATGTGAACGATTTGTGCCCACACAACGTTTAAATCAAAGAAATTATCGTGATATTTGTTGTTGTTGTACTGAGTTCAGTTGTTCTGGTCGTAAAGGAATCATGGAACCCAGATCGAATAGACCATATGGTGGTAGGAGATTTAAATCACCAGTTAATTTCCGGACAATATTTCGACCAAGTCCAACATCAATTAACAAGTGAGTTAATGAAGTGGTTGTGTTGGTTGATGTACCACTACTATTCAATGTAGCTTCAGTTGGAGGGATAGACACTGTAGGCGTTGTTGTTGAAGATGATGACGTCAAATGACCTTGTGGTGTCAGTATTGGTAAGCCCAATTCAGTCACCCAAACAAAGTGTTGAGCATTTCTTAACAGAATATTAGAATCAACAATGGACTGGGAAGGTGTTAAATGAATAATGCCACCAATGGAATTGTGATTGCGCAACCAATTAAACAATAAATTTGTATTTGATGATAATGATGAGTTGTCTCTATTTACAGTGTTACTGTCATCTGAATGACCAATTATCACTAGGTCAATGCGTATACTACTTGGCAGTTTGATAACAGCTGTAGAAGATTAAGAAAGAGGGAACAAATACTAAAGTGAAGAGATCAATTAACCTCTAGAGATAACAAAAATCAACACTAATATAAAGTCAAATAGAATGCATTAAAGTGCTGTTCAAGTTAAAGTCGATGAATAGAATACTAGTGGGTAGATGAATGCAATGATATGTGTGGACGTGCGATACCTACTTATGGGACCGTATTATCGACTGAGACCCTCTGAATGATTAAAAACTAAGGACAACTAGCCAGATGAATTGTTTTCCATGCAGTAACATGCTTATATATACAGAATAAACACACGAAATTAACATGTCATAGGCGATTGGAGGGAACTAGTTTATAGGTCATCCGTTCTCTAATCAATTAAGACTTGAATGTTCGGCCTAATCTTTGGACATCGTATTAAGTAAATAGACTGAATGAGGGAAAGAATGAAGTGATAGTTGCAAATCGATAGCTAGGAAGGCAATATGGAATGCTAAAATATTGGTGTATACATTTGACATTATTGTTAGCAAGGAAATATCAACTGTAAGACTGTTAGTCTTTATACATAAAGTTTATTGAAGTCAAAAATCTCCATAGGCTGAGGTGGTTAGGACATGAATTAAGACACATAATTGAAACCACCGCCAATTACAACATTTGACATCAGATGATATAGCAGTAGGCTGGGGAAAAACTAACAGTAGCAAGATCAAGATATGGTATTAATCCATAAAGGTACTAACTGATTATTGATCTGAAATATTTTAAAACAAGTTGACATCATAGATCAGGTCCATAAAATGCTTGTAATCAATGGTTGGGATGTTCAGTACACAAACCTTTACTTAATAAATGAGTTAAATTATTTTTATTATCAGAGGTGAATCTACAGTTGGCACAAAACAAGCATTAATTGCTAGTTAATCATTACCACTTATCACTGAAATGAAGGTGAAGTATATTAACCGAACATACAAATATAATTTTATTTTAAGACTTGCTATTAGCAGTATTCAGTAGTGGTTGACTTTTACAAAGTAAATGTTTATAAGATACAAACATGTTGGGTAGCTGTTCTATTATTTAGAAACATGTAGAACTGAATAAGTAAATCTTGGACATTGATTACCTCTATAAAACTAACTAAATAAAAACCTCTACACTTCATAAATATAACAAATGATGTAATAAAATTGTGACAACAATCATAAAGAACACAGGCATCTGTGACATTTATTAATGACTTATACAACTAACACCATGTTTTCTTTTGAAGAAAACAAAAAAGAAATGGAACTATGGAAGAGTAATTTATAGTAATTAATTAAAACTCTAAAACTATGTATAAATTTAAAAGTTCTACCTATTAGTATGGATGAAAAGAAACAGATAAGTAAATACAAACAATCAATTGGGTTTGTAAATGAATTAACAATCTCTTTAACGTTAGAAAGAAACATACTTTAAAACTATTTTCTACATTTTTCTAGATAATTTCTTCTAATTATGTTGTTATAGAAGGGAAGAGTCTTTATACTAGATTATTATTATTACGCTAGTTTGTATGGTTTGTAATGATGGATCATTAATAAAAAAATAAAGTGTATCATATCACGAAGAAGTACTTTCCAGATGTAGTTTATTGAAAACGAAGAAAATAACAACAATCTAAAGCTACCAACTTAGACATAGAATACTGTTCAGATAAATGACATCATTAAGTAATTTAAACTGTTAATTATAAAACAATATAATTCAACCAGTCAGTCATACGCAACATAGAATCAGACATTTGTGTATCAGTTCAAGTTCTCATACCAAATTAACACAGTGAGACAAAATTATTTCAAAACAAATCCCACTGTAGTAGAAATATTAGTAACAGTATCAGTGGTGCTACAAAAGACTAGGTAAAGGAAAAAATAGTATAACGAGATCTCAAGATTAAGGTTCTAGGATGGAACAAAGGGACGATACACAGGTATCATTGTGCAAAATGTTGCTTCAGGATTGGGTTACATCGACACCCGAACTAGTGATAGGGAGTGAAGTAGTTGAGTGTGTCGACCGCTTCACTTATCTTGTAAGTCTCATCAGCCCTTGTGGTCTGGTATGTGACGAAATCTCTGCACGGATACAGAAGGCTCGACTAGCTTTTACCAACTTGCGTCATTTATGGAGTAGGCGAGATATCCGTCTATCAACCAAAGGACGTGTTTACTGCGCAGCAATTCGTTCCGTCCTACTTTATGGCAGTGAAACATGGCCGGTAAGAGTAGAGGATATTCGTAGGTTACTAGTATTCGATCATAGGTGTCTTCGAAACATTGCTCGTATATCATGGGACCATCGAGTAAGTAACACAGTTGTTAGGAAACGGGTACTAGGTAAGGATGGCAAATCAATTGATGAAGTAGTGAAACTTCATCAGTTGAGATGGTTGGGACACGTGTTACGTATGCCCAACGACCGACTGCCTCGACGTGTGATGTTCAGTGGTATGGGAGTAGATTGGGAGAAAGCTAGGGGCGGTCAGACCAAAACATGGCTCAAGTCCATGAAGTCACTGACAAGTGGTCTGAGTCATGTTGATAGGTATAGACTACCTGGTTGGGGACCGCGAGATGATAGCAACCGATGGTTAGAGACCCTGAATGACATGGCTCAAAATCGTTTGCAATGGCGCAGGTGCATCCACTCTTTGTGTTCTCCCAAATTCTAATCTTCTGAATTCTTCATGTCCCTTTTTTCCTCTTTCCAAATTTATTTCACTGAATTATACTCTTTAAATAACATCTCCAAACCCTAATCTTCCCGATCACTACTTACACTCTTGCTACCACTACCACTACGGGATTTGGATCGACAACTGCATCTCTGTGTTAAGGTGGTGTGGCAACTCGAACTGTTGTACGTACGTACGAAGTTCTACGTTGTTACTGACTGACTGACTGATCATTGTGAACAATTCTGACCCACTCCACCTAAATCCTCGAACCACATAAATCGAATGATTTATGTGGCGCATATCTGTTTGGTGCCTCCTTGTACCAATGTTTATGTGTTTAAATCATAAATAAATAATATCTAATCATTGGTTACGATGATCACGCGGACAATAACCAGGTGGTTTACACGAATTAATATGGTTCAGTCTAGTTGTCAATGACTTCATGAACTGGCTCTAGGTATGGGTTTGAGTCAGTCAGTCAGTCAGCTACAACGTAGGACCAGGCACATATGTGCATCGGTCCAGGTTGCCATACCGCATCAACACAACAAGATGAACACCAGATTCATAACAGTGGTTAGGTATAAAGTGGTAATATATAAGAGAAAGATTGCATATAGAGATATAGTACAAGCAGAAAGAATTGGTTCGTAGAAAGAAAGATATGAAGCGATTTTAATCTCATAGTTTAAGTGAAGACAGGGAGTGTAAACACCGACGCCATTGTGATCGATTCTGAGCCATGTCACCAAGAGTCTCCAACCATTGGTTACGATAGTCACGCGGACCCCAACCATGTAGTCTGCATCTACCAACATGGCTCAGACTAGAAGTTAGTGACTTCAAGCACTGATGCCACGTTTTGGTTTGGCCGCCCCTAACTTTCTTCCAACCATTTCCAATACCGGATAGCATTGCACGTCGTGGTAATCGGTGTTCAGGCATACGTAACACGTGGCCCAACCATCTCAGTCGATGAAGATTCATAACCTCATCAACTGATTTACCATCCTTTCCTAATACCCTGCGTCTAACCTCACTATTACTTACCCGTTTATCCCAGCAGACGCCAGCAATATTTCTTAGGCATCTGTGGTCAAATACTAATAGCTTACGAGTGTCTTCTACTCTTAATGGCCATGTTTCGCTGCCGTAAATTAAAACAGAACGGACTGCCGCGCAGTATACTCGTCCTTTTATTAATAGACGGATATCTCGCCTTCGCCAAAGGTGACGTAAGTTGGCAAAAGCCAAACGAGCTTTTCGAATTCGTGCTGAGATTTCGTCCGATACCAACCCATTAGGGCTGATCAGACTTCCAAGATAAGTGAAGTTGTCAACGCGTTCGACTACTTCACTCCCTATCCTTAGTTCAGGTGTTAACGGAGACCAGTCCTGAAGCAACAACTTGCATTTAGAGGGAGAGAAGCGCATTCCAAACATCCTGGCATTGTTGCTCAGTGCTACCAGAAGACTCTGCATTTTGTCAGCGTCTTCACCAAACAGGACTATGTCATCTGCGTATTCTAAGTCGATAAGTGGATCTCCTGGTAGGAGATCAATATCCGAGAACTCAGTCGACGAGAAAGTTATTTCCATCAGTAGATCTATGATGAAGTTAAACAAAAATGGGGAAAGTGGACATCCTTGACGGACACCACTTGAGGTTGCAAAACTAGATGACAGTTGGCCATAAGCTCTCACTCGACTAGTAGTGTTCGAGTAAAGAGCCTTCACAAGGCTTATGTACTTCTGAGGTACGCCTTTCAATGACAAGCACTGCCACAGAATCTCGCGGTCTACCGAGTCAAATGCTGCTTTTAAGTCAAGAAAGACCACCATCGTCGGACGCCTATAAGTATGCCTGTGTTCTAGAACCTGACGAATGGTGAATATGTGGTCGATGCAGCCACGACCAGGTCTGAAGCCAGCTTGATTTTCTCGTGTTTGCAGTTCACGAGTTTTAGTTAGGCGTCTGATTATTATTGAGGCTAGTATTTTAGATATTATATTAGTTAAACTAATCCCTCTGTGGTTGTCACAGGATGATTTTGACCCTTTCTTATATATTGGGACGATAAGTGATTGTGACCAGTCAGATGGAATAACATCTAACTCCCAGATCTTAGCTAAAATATTAGTCAACCTAACCGCTAAAATTGGACCACCATCCTTAAAGACTTCTGGAGCCAGTCCATCTGGACCAGCAGCCCTTCCTCGTTTCAGATTATCTATAGCCTTTTGAACTTCAGCAAGAGTTGGGGGACCTACTTCAATGTTCCATTCACGCTGTCTGGGAATGGAGGGTAGTTGTAGAGTAGCTGAAGGCCAGCTGAACTGTTCTCTGAAATGTTCCGCCCATCGTTCTAAACGCCTGGACTGGGAGCAGATGAGTGTATCGTCTTTTTCCGATATAATCTCACTTACACTTGACTTATTAATTCCAGTTTCTTTTATTAGTCTGTAAAGCTGTCTTGTGTTCCCCATAGTCGCCGCCTTTTCCATCTCTTTTGCTTTCGTTGCCCACCACTGCTCACGGTCGTTTCTTAGACTTTTTCTTAACCTAGATCTGATTTGTTGTCGCTCTTCATCATGTTCGGAACCTGATGGGACGAGTTTGCGAGAATCCATCAGTGTGATAGACTTTGAAGAAATCCACGGGTCCTTTGAAACTCTGTGGTTTAAGTCGCTAATAGATGTCACTGCTGCTTCCACAGCTGCTTGTATGTCTTTCCAAGCAACATCTGGGTCAGCCTCGTCTTCAGAACTACCTAAGTGTGAACTCAGTTGTTCTTGGAACCTATTTTTGGTTTTCTCGTTACTCATTTCAGTTCTAATTGGTCTTTTTAATGTGGCTTTTTTGCGTCCAGTGAGGTGCAAGCAGATGCGTGCCCGTATTAGGGCATGGTCGGAGTCCAAGCAGGTACTCCAGAATGAGCGACAATCTTCTACCGACCCTCTCCAACGATGACTGATGGCAATATGATCTTTTAGAGTCCTTCGTTGGTTTGGTGTAGGGGGTCGCCATGTTAGACGATGTCTCTCCTTATGCTTAAAATTTGTGTTTGCTAAAAATAAGCGATTGTCTGAGCACAGTTGCAGCAGACGATCACCATTATCTGTTCGCTGTGCCGGAATGCTAAAATATCCACCTAAATGCCTTTCTGTTTGGTTTAAGCTACCTATCTGAGCATTAAAGTCACCCCCTACGAGTACTATGTCTGAGCGTTTAGCTTTCTGAAGAAGTTCAGACAGCTTTCTGTAAAATTCATCCTTCACTTCATCTGAGCTGCAGTCAGTGGGAGCGTAGGCAGAAACGACAAAAAGGCAACGACGTGTGTCCCTATCCTTCCGAGTTCTTACGGAGCCGTTTAGCCGAACAGCACATAGACGACTGTTGATGGGGATCCACTCTAGTAGTGCTTGTTCCGCCCTCATGCTTAGTGCTATGCCTACACCTGCCAGTCCACGAGAACTGGCCATCGGGCCACCAGATACACGTAGGGTGTATCTCGTTGGCTCTCCGTTTTGCCGAGGTGAGGTCAAGTGAATGATCACACTGGAATCCTGTATGCGTGTTTCGGAGACACAGCATACATCGATGGAAAGAGACTCTAGGGTTTTAGCCAAGGAAGCCTGCTGACCGATTTGACATAGAGTGCGTACGTTGAAAGCTCCAATGTGTAGTTTGGAGCGAGGTTTCAGTAGACCTGGGACAGAGTTTTGAGCACTAGAATCGTTGGCTATGGTGACGCTTGAGGAAGAAGCCGAAGGAGGAAGTTTAGGGTTGAAAGTCGATGTAGGAGGAATAATAGGAATTGAAGAGGGAGGTTGATTATGAATCCAGTGGTCTTGAGTGCTGTTAGAGGTATGAGGGCAGTTATCACTTCCCGGTTGCCCACACCGTGGAAGGGTTCTTCTGGAGGTACCTGTAAAGGAAATCGGATTAGAAGTGGTCTTAGTGACCAGGGAGCGTGACCGCAGTGCCCAAGAAACAACTGCTTGAGGCCGGTCGCGCACGGCCTTTTTGTGGAAGGTTTTTGACGTGTTAGCTCCGTTCTTCAAAGGGCCTTACCGCCGGAGACGGAAATCCGTGAGGTAAGGCGAGGTGTGCATTTTTAGGGTCGACCTTTTCTAACCCCACCCCTCCTTGTGGGAAGGCAGCATCGCTGTCATGCTGGTTGTCTGAAGGAAACACCTTACTGCTGTCACACCTCTGTACAGTCAGCAGTACGACTTCGCCTTCGGACCTTAGGTTTGTTGCTTTTAGTCTTACCGCTCTTCAACCGACCTGTCTGACATGGTAGGACCTTGAGGAACGGTTGTTCCAGCCAGTATAGCTCGGTTGCTTCATTACGATAGGCAAGCCCGACCACCACGTCAAGGTAGCAACAACGGTCGGGGTTTGAGTGGTCCTAGCTTTACCCTAACCTAGCCTGAGAAATGGCTACCACATCCAAGGACGGCAGCAGGCACGAAAATTACCCACTCCCGGCACGGGGAGGTAGTGACGAAAAATACGGATACGGAACCCAATCGAGGCTCCGTAAGTCGAATGAGTACAATAATAACGAGGACCAATTGGAGGGCAAGTCTGGTGCCAGCAGCCGCGGTAATTCCAGCTCCAAAAGCGTATATTAAAGTTGCTGCAGTTAAAAAGCTTGTAGTTGGATCTGTGTCGTGCGGTCGCATGCCGCTGCTTGTTCACGGTTTTGGTTACAATCATGACGTGTTCAGCTCGGTGTAGTGGCTGTGTAGCCTTTCAGCCGTATCTGTGTTAAAAGGGTGCTGGTGGGTTGACGAGTTCGTCTTGTTGGCCTGTCGGCGTCCTTCCGGATGCCTTTAAACGGGTGTCAGGAGAGGACGGCATCTTTACTTTGAACAAACTTGCGTGCTCAAAGCAGGCCTGTGCGCCTGAAGATTCTTGCATGGAATAATGAAATAGGACTTCGGTTCTATTTTGTTGGTTTTCGGATCCGAAGTAATGGTTAAGAGTGACAGACGGGAACATTTGTACGGTGGTGTTAGAGGTGAAATTCTGGGATCGCCTCCAGACAAACTACAGCGAAAGCATTTGCCAAGAATGTTTTCATTGAGCAGGAGCGAAAGTCAGAGTTTCGAGGACGATCAGATACTGTCGTAGTTCTGACCATAAACGATGCCAACTGACGATCCGCGTTGGTTTTATAATTGACATCGCGGGCAGTCCTCGGGAAACCTCTAAGTCTTTGGGCTCCGGGGGGAGTATGGTTGCAGAACTGAAACTTAAAGGAAATTACGGAAGGGCACCACCAGGAGTGGAGCCTGCAGTTTCATTCGACTCAACATGGGAAAACTCACCCGGCCCGGACACTGTGAGGATTGACAGATTGATAGCTCTTTCTTGATTCGGTGGGTGGTGGTGCATGGCCGTTCTTAGTTGGTGGAGCGAGTTGTCTGGTTAATTCCGATAACGAACGAGACTTTAACCTTCTAAATGGTAGACTGGTCCTCTGTGCTCGTTTAGGGCGCGGCTTCTATTACTTCTTTATGGAGTAGTGTGGTCGTGATCCGGCGGGTGCGGTCCCAGTTCTTAGAGGGACAAGCGGCACACTTAAGTCGCACGAAATTGAGCAATAACAGGTCTGTGATGCTCTTAGATGTCCGGGGCCACAAGTGCGCTACAATGACGGTGCCAGCGAGTCTGGAAACATGGCTCGAAAGGGTTGGGCAAACTGTTTCATCACCGTCGTGACTGGGATCGGGGCTTGCAATTATTTCCCGTGAACGAGGGATTCCTAGTAAGTGCAAGTCATAAGCTAGCGCTGATTACGTCTCTGCCCTTTGTACACACCGCCCGTCGCTACTACCGACTGAATGGTTTAGTGAGGTCGTTGTAGTGGCTTTGCCGCTCGACTGATGCTGAGATGACCAGAATACTCTAGAATCTTCTCATGTAAAAACTATAAATATACTAACGTTTTCCCTATTGTGCTTCTTACATCCATCTAACCTTGTTATTTGGAATATAATCTCTTTCCTGTTCAACCGTGTTCTGATTTGGGGACTTATCGAGTAAATCGGTGTCCGAGAATACTAAGTAATAGGAATAGCTGGGTCATAACCGTAAGAAAGAGATTATAACACACCAGAAGACACTGTCCGTCGAGGTAACCAGTGGTTGGGCATGTATAACAAACTTTTGGTGATTTTATTCTCTGCGTTGAACAAAACTCCAAAATCATTCACCTGAGCTACAAATCTTCTCCACCATCTCATTTATAACACATGTCCAAACTAACTTAATTGATGAAAAGTCATTGCCTCATCAATCTTTTTGTTGCGTTTACTTAATAGCGTATGTTTTACTTTGGCATCGCTGACTTCGAAGATACTTATGGATGAATACCAGTAATCCAAAAATACCCTTTATTCTTAACGGTCATTTTTCATACTAATTTAGTAGAACAGAATAGATGGATATTTCGCTCATATCACAAGTGGTGCATGTTATCAAAGACTAACCGAGCTTTGTAAATGTGCTGAAACCAGCTCATTAGAACTGATGAGGCTCTCAAGATCAGTGAAGCGGTTAATGTGTTCAACTACTTCACTTCCTATCATTAATTCAGGCGCTAGCGAACTGCCGCGTATTATACACGGCTCTTAGTTGGTAGGCGGATAAATCGTTTACACCAAAAGCGACACACACTTAGGAAAGTCAAGTGAGTTTTTCGAAATTATTGCCGATATTTCGTCAAACACTAACCTAAAAAGGTTGACGAAAATTCCAGGATAAATGAAGTGATTGACACACTCAACTAATTCACTTACTATCATCAATATTAGGAATCTAAGGAATAGTTAGCTGCAAAGAACTGAGATGTTATTTATTCCTGTCTGTTTACTTGACTTCATTACCACGATTATAAGTGAGTTTGCAATGGTCAGTATTTATCTAAATTACAAAAACAATAACAACCCAAAAAAATTGTTAATAGATTGAAAAAAATGTGTACAAGTATACTACTTACAATTTGGACGACGTATAATTTTCAGTCCAGGCATACGACTCATCCATATACGTCCAACTGAACTATGATCGACAATACTACTGATATCGGAATAATTGAGACAACTCATATTATCAAAGTCAACATCATTATGTTCACGAATATTCGCAGAAGATGAACCAATACTGATACTATTATCATCAATTGTATGACTCCCATTATCATTATTATTTAATGTATAGAGTCCAGGTATTTGTTTATTATTCTTATTATCATCATGATTATTTTCGTTATCTGTTCCCCGCCCATCATCACTGTATTGGTCTAATTCATCATCTTCTTCATCATCAAGATCATCTAGTCCATATTGATTTGGTTTTGGTGCTAAATTCATAAGTAAGTGTAACTCCTGTCGATAGATAGTAGACATTATGGAATTATCGGTAGGATATTCATCACTAACATCTTCGGAAGTAGCAGTAGTAGTGTCATTCACTGAATTATTATTATTATTAGTTTTAGCACAATACATAGATGGAGTGACTAATAGAACACAAGCTCCAAGTGTAGATAAATATCGAGCTATATTCAACGACAATACTGCACCTAAATGATTAGATCCATTTGATATGATTAGAATACGAGCCGGAGGTCTATGAATAATCCTGTGAGAAAGGTGAGGTAATAACAGAAGAACAGGGGAAACTTTTTTATAAAACTCAATTACAAAAATTAAACATTCTTTTCTATAATACCATTAAATAATATGACTTATATGACCTTGTTCTTGTGTTAAACCAATGACACGTCAAAACAGCAAAAGCAATCTGGAGACAACTTGGAGTCTTTATTGGTTCTCCTCGTCTAGCTTTGCCCGTTGAGTTCAAAACACAAATCTCAGCGTCCACTGTATGAATAATGTATTTCAGATATACGTAGTTTATATAAAAGTAAATCAGACCTAATCACACCATAAAATAGAAAATAACGATTATACAAGATCAAGCTCAAAGTGGTTGTGAGTGTGAGAAGCTGTAACTAACAGATTGAGAATAACTCAAAAATAGTAAATCGTCTAACGATAGTCAATAGGTCAAATGGAAGCGAATATACATATAATTTAGTTATTTAATAATTATCCAATAAAAGTATATGTAATAGTAATTCCCAACTGTTATCAATCCTTTATTCTTCGTTTGGATATAACACCTTAGTTTTTGAAAATTAATGTAAAGTACATAATGGGACAGAATCTAATCTGTATCGAAATTCTTGTAATAATCTAAAGTTTTATTGTACTTTAAAATATAAGATTGATTTGTCATGCATGATATAAGAAAAGTTAGCACATGTAGTAGTAATGAATATAAGTGAAAGAGTGATTTCGTGATTGAAACATTTAACTTCCAGTCATTGTAAAACAGGTTTGAACACCGTTTCCCACTAACCAATAAGTTAGATAGTATCAATAAATTTCACTGGACATATGTACTTTGAAATGATTATTAATGTAAGGCAGAAAAAAAAAGAAACACACAATTCTTACCGTTGAGGTGTTCTATTTAATTGACGTAAATGTATCATAATATTATCGATTAGAGGACGAGTAGCAGATTCAATAAATCGACCCCATGTAATACCTTGAAATTTATTACTTATTTGAGTATCTAAATTTAATCCTGTAGTTAAATAATTAAATAAACGTTGACGTTGTTCTAATGGAAATATTGGTACACGTTGTCCTGTACATGTATACCAGTACTGATTATTACGTTGTTTTATAGAATTTATATAATATTGTTTATTATTAACATTGAAATTATTTCCTTCTGAATGAACTGTTACTGCTGCTGCTGCTGGCGGTGGTGATGATGGTGACGATGTAGCAACTACTGAACTAGTAGGATTATGTTGATTAATAGATTTATTATTGGAAGTAGTTATTTGTGTATTGTTTATTTTATGCTTATCTTCATAATGACTACCAGAGGATGTGATAGTCAGTGTTGTTCTAGTTGAAGCTGTCATAGTTGTTATTAAATTAGATGATTGAGTTGGAGTAGCTAAGAGAAAAACAAACAGTCAGAGAAGCAGAGAGTAAAAAAAGAAAGTAAAAACAATGAATAGATAATGGTGAATACAAGCAATGTGACACTTATCTTTGATTAAGTCAGCTAAGTAATTTTTGCCAAATAAATAAACAGTGATTAAATTACAACATAATAAAAATGAACATGAATAATTATTTTATAAAATAAATGACCAAACGGACTAATTTATATAATGATTAATGTATATGATTTATTTAACAAGTCACAGATTTATGTACTTGGGTAATTGTATAGAATTAAAGGGTGGAAGGTACATGGGGAACAGAGTTTGAATTTGTGATCTAGTAACTGAAAATTTAGTTTTTTTTAAAAATTAATAAGCTATTACTCCATCGATCTATGATGTTCAAAATATGAGGTGTAGCCAATGAATGCTAACAGAATAATATATACATATTTAATAGTTGAAACCATGAGTCGATGTAAGTCCCAGGTACGAGACCGTGGATGAGCACTGCTGAGGAGTCAGTCCCATACTAGGAAGAAACGGCCTTCCAGTGCTTCCAGGTTTTCCATGATGGTCTAGCTTAAATCGACCCATGAATTCAACTATTAGATTACTACAATTTTCACAAACCCCTATTCTGATATATTTTTAAAATCTTAAATATTTCATTGACTTATTCAATACCAAATGTTTGTGTTTATAAGATAACTACAAAGCACATGAATCACTTACTGAATAGCGGAATTCCAACACCATCTGGACCTTCAATGAAATGTGGTAGAGAAGAAGAAACGGAAGAATTATTCATTTCAGAAGTATTTGCTATTGAATGACCTTCGCGTGAATCAACCATTTCGTAGAATGCACTCTTATTAAATAAGGCTAAGTTTCCTTCAAAATCAAAATCTTCATCGATAAATTCTTCAACACAGATCCGATCCCAATCTGCTAAATTTCTTTGACCGCCGCTACCACCTCCATTTAGTCCAGTGTTCCCTCCGTTCCGATTATTGTGACCATTATTATTGTTATTATCACGTGGGTGACCGCGATTTTGAGCATGTCGATTAGTACTGCCACTGCCTCCACAGTTGAACTGACCTCTTGATCCTGAATTCGTATGACGATGGAACGAATCACTTTCGGCACCAGATATATCACTTGTCGCGCCAGCTGTTTCTGACGCTAGGTATAGATTTTTTAAAGCGGGAAATTAACCAATGATAATAAAATAATGATGTTTTACATAAGTAATGAGCTATATTTTGAATTATAATAACAATAGTCCTTTAAATATTTGATAATTGTATAAACTGAGATATTTATTTATAGTGCACATTATTTTTTGATAGCTATTTCATACTGTTTGACAGAATCATTGATTTCCTCCTAATAGCTCAGATGAAATTACTGTGAACGGGTTTCGTCTTAGTTTTATGATTAAAGACAAACAGTTATATTAAGCTAATAATGGTTCCAGTGTTTTTAAGTGAAGAATGATGCACGATACGAATACAACCGAAGACTATAATGGGGTATGACGATTTGAACTAATGTATACACGGGCCAGGTTCTATGTTGCATATGACTAACTGACTGATAATGTTACTCACTTGCGGAGCAGATGTATGGCTAAAGGCCTAGGAGCACAAACTGTTAGAAATTTAGTATCAATAATTCAAATGACTTGGAAAACTGTAAGCATTATTAGTTGACATAGTATGTGGAGTTTTTATCATGAACTGAAGTCATCTGGGAAACCACTGAAAACCAAGAAGTACTACTTAACAAATTTTTGTCTCATTTCGTGGTTTACTAGAAACCTGGAGATCGAGCACATGACCAGTGAAGTTCAACCATATAGAGTGAGAAAATTATCACCGATGACGTTAAATGACGGTCGCTCTGTATTCCCGACTGATTGGTGTCTGAAATCCAGATCGCTGGATTCCAACTCAATAACCTAAAGGCAATCTAGTAGTAAGGGTAGCACTGTTGAGGAGTCTCAAATTAAGATAGAATAGCTAACTAGTTCTCTCCAACGATCAGTGGTTTTCTAACTGATCTTATTTCGCTAAGAAAACCAAACTTTGCATTACTCAGATGACCACAGGACTCGATATTGGGGTGAATTCTTTAAAAGGTATAAGATATTTGAAAAACTGCCAGTTTTGACAAAGTAGAAGGTAATCAATCTCAAAAACCTGACTTACTTGAATAACTGCGGCGTTTGGAATGACGGTGGTTATTAACAGCATACTTACGAGCTGGACTTGAGTCATTTGGTTCACGAATGGAAGCTTTCCCCAATGCAGTGTCTAACAGTTGCAAATCGTTTGAGTGTCCAAAACCGTTATTAATATCATTAATGTTACTACCAGATCCTGGGGCACCAGCTGTCTTATGAATGATAGGCGGTGAGTCAGGACATACATAAACACTGCAAGCGTTGGGAATGTTTCTTAACCATTCTCGACGTTGTTCGCGTGAAGAATTAGAGGACTTATTTGGGCATTTAACCGGTGTATCACTACCTGAGGATTCACCGTCACTTGCAGTTGAAAGAATGCGAATATTTTGGATGAATCTACTCCTGTAAAACCGAAATAGACAATTGTTGACATCAGGTAATATGTACATTTGTATATTAAAAATATGAAACATAATGGAAACGGACGCTGATAGTATGTTATTTAAGAAATTATCATGTAGACTATGAAATATATGATCATATTAAAGTGATAAGTATCAATTTTATGACTAGAGAAATGCATCTATTATGAAAAGTATAGATATATCAAGGAAATTAGGGAATGACTTAAACGTACGAGGTTGGTGACACTGTAAACCAACAACCAGTATTTTTTCAATGGTCACGTACAGGGATTTTGTCTACATACGAGCACCAATGAGTGAGTTATAGCTTACAGCAAACTGCTATCTGAAGTAGTGACTAAAAGTGGTGTTCGCTAAGGCTACTCACAATATTTCTTTTTGTCAGATCCTCCTAGAAATAACATACTTTGTTTACTCTTTAAGGAATTGAGCTCCTTCCTGGAAACTCGCTAGTTGACCTGGGGCACACAGATGGTGAATATACTGACAAAATGAAGTCTATGGTGTTCCTGAACAAAGATGTTGCTTCAGAACTAGTCTAGGATGTGAATTTATGAAGTTAGTTTGGATTTGGTAACTTGCGATGTAGGTGAAACAACAGGTAGGTATACTATGTCGTAGTTTGCACTGACAACCAGGGCAGCCATTGATTTAGGTAAATGGAATGCTTGTACAATGTGGGAGACTGTGAAAGTCTTCCAAATTGCTGCAGAAATGAAGAGATACAACCTGTAGGTGCTTGGAATCAGTGGAACACATTGGACGCAGGTTGGACAACAACGACTAGATTCAGTGGAACTTATACTCCGGCCATGAAGAAAATGTCCCATATACACAAGGAGTTGCATTGGTGCTATCGAAACAAGCACAAAATGCAGTTATACGATGGGAATTTCATGGAACAAAGATAATCAAAGCCTCCAAAACAAAGAAATAGGGCATTACAGTGAACGTCATCCAATGCTATACACCTACCAACGACTACAATGAAGACGCTAAAGATTAATTCAACAAAAGGTTGCAGTAAATCGTTGAGAAGTGCCCATCAAAGGACTTGACCATTCTTATGACTGACCTAAATGCCAAGGTTGGAATGGACAATACTGGATATGTAGACATCATGGGACGACATGGACTGGGAGAAAGGAGTGAAAATGGTGAGAGATTTGCAAACCTATATGTCTTCAATGAACTGGTCATAGGCGGCACTATATTCCCACATAAACGCATACATAAAAGCACATAGATTTCACCGCGCCACACTACGCAGAACCAAATCGACCATACCTGCATCAACTACTATGGAGTAACTGGAAACGGATAAAAGAGGCAATCACTTCAACATGTCATGAAATTCTGGGGCACAAAAAGCACCATCACAAGGAATGGATCATTGTTGATACACTGGATAATATTCAAGGAAGGAGAAACAAGAAGGCAGCAACCAATACCAGCCGAACAAGTGAAGAGGAAGCAAAAGCACAGGCTGAATACAGAAGTAAACAAGCAAGTGAAGAGGAGCATCAGAACTGACAAACGTAAATATGTGGAAGATCTAGCAATGACGGTGGAAAAGGCTACAAGAGCATGAGACAACTGTATGACACAACAAAGAAACTCTCTGGAAATTATCGTAAACCAGAACGACCAGTGAAAAGCAAGGAAGGCAAAGAGTAATCATCAACATTGAGGAACAGCAAAACAGGTGAGTAGAACACTTCAAAGAATTCTTGAATCGACCAGCTCCACTGAACCCACCCAACATCGAAGCAACACCCACGGACCTCCCAATCAATGTTGACCCATCAACAATTGAAGAGATCAGCATGGCCATCAGACAAATCAAGAGCGGCAAAGCATCGGGACTGGACAGCATTCCAGCGGAGGTAATGGAAGCAGATGTGGCAGTAACTGCAAGGATACTCCACATTCTCTTCAGCAAGATTTGGGATGAAGAACAAGTACCAACAGACTGGAAAGAAGCACAAAACACCTAAGAAAGGCGATCTCAGCAAGTTTGATAACTATAGAGACGCAAACACAGTAACTATCGTTTAAAATAACAGTATGGTGCTCATTGAGTTATTGAGTCTCGATAGCCAATAACGCGTTTAATAAGTATGATAAAATGTTTGATCGAAAAGTGTCTAATGTATAAAATCATGTGAATTAAGTAAGAAATAGTAAAATGAGATGAGTACCAATTAAGTTCTTTATGTATTCATAAAAATGATGATAATAATCATAATATAAGTAATGGTAATAATACATCAACTTGATTGACTACGAGAAAGCATTTGATAGCGTGGACAGGACAACACTATGGAAGCTTCTTCAATACTACGGCGTGCCTCAGAAGATAGTCAATATCATGAGGAATTCCTATGATGGATCAAACTGCAAAATCGTGCATGGAGGACAATTGACAGTCTCGTCCGAGGTAAAGACCGGTGTCAGGCAAAATTGCTTACTCTCACCCTTTCTGTTTCTCCTGGTGATCGACTGGGTCATGATGATATCAACATATAGGGAGGAGCATGGAATACAGTGGACAGCTAGGATGCGGCTGGACGATCTAGACTTCGCAGATGATCTGGCCCTTCTATCACAAACGCAACAACAAATGCAGGAGAAAACGACCAGTGTATCAGCAGCCTCAGCAGCAATAGGTCTCAATATACACAAAGGGAAGAGCAAGGTTCTCCGATACAATACAGAATGCACCAATCCAGTCACAATTGACGGAGAAGATTTGGAAGATGTAAAATCCTTTACATATTTGGGCAGCATCATTGATGAACATGGTGAATCTGATGCAGATGTGAAGGCGCGGATCGGCAGAACAACAGCAGTAGATTTACAACTGAGGAACATCTGGAACTCAAAACAACTGCCAACCAACACCAAGGTCAGGATTTTCAATACAAATGTCTAGACAGTTCTACTGTATGGGGCGGAAACTTGGAGAACTACGAAAGCCATCATCCAGAAGATACAGGTGTTTATTAGCAGATGTCTACACAAAATACTTCGGATCCATTGGCCAAACAGTATCGGCAACAACCTATTGTGGGAGAGAACAAACCAGATTCCAGTGGAGGAAGAAGTGCTGGAGGTGGATAGGGCACACATTGAGGAAAGCAACCAACTGCGTCACAAGTCAAGCCCTCACCCGGAACCCTCAAAGCCAAATGAGGGGGGGAATACCAAAGAACACATTATGCAGAGAAATGTAGATACATGAGAAAAACCAACAAAAATTAGATAGAACTAGAAAGGAAGACCCAGAACAAAGGGTGTTGGAGAATGCTGGACGGTGACCTATGCTCAATTGGGGGTTAACAGATGTAAGTAAGTTTGCACCGTATTTATATACGGTTATGATAAGGACAGAGCAGACGACATGTGTAGGCTGCATGTTTTTGACCACATATATCTTCGAGGCACTCGAGTGTGATTGAACAAAGGGGTGGATAATAGAGAGTGGATGTTGGCTACCAGGATAGTTAGTTGAAGCTGAGTCTCCGTCGACTAAAATGGTCAAGGTGTGTATTAAGTGCGCCTAACCACCACAACCATGGCATACAGTGGTGGCTGGGAAAAGATTAGGTTATAAAAGAGCTAATGATGGCCGATTCTATAAGTGGCATCAATCTATGAGGTCAGTGATTGAGTTCATACACTTTTTAAACTCACACTATAATCCAGCTGAAGATTTCGTCTGAGTTGGGTTCTTTGAGCTCTGTGGCTACATCATAACGCTTACGCAATAGACACCATGAGATCTTAGGAATCTTAAAAGCATAGCCCGTGTAATTTGGGATCACACAGTCAGTAATACCAAAGTAAAACATACGCTACTAAGTAAACGCAACAAAAAGATTGATGAGGCAATGACTTTTTATCAATTAAGTTAGTTTGGACATGTGTTATAAATGAGATGGTGGAGAAGATTTGTAGCTCAGGTGAATGATTTTGGAGTTTTGTTCAGCTCAGAGAATAAAACCACCAAAAGTATGTTATACATGCCCGACCACTGGTTACCTCGACGGACAGTGTCTTCTGGTGTAAGAATAGGTCAGGGGAAAGCTAGGACCACTCAAACCCATACCTAGAGCCAGTCCATAAAGTCATTGACAACTAGACTGAACCATATTAATTCGTGTAAACCACCTGGTTATTGTCCGCGTGATCATCGTAACCAATGATTAGATATTATTTATTTATGATTTAAACACATAAACATTGGTACAAGGAGGCACCAAACAGATATGCGCCACATGAATCATTCGATTTATGTGGTTCGAGGATTTAGGTGGAGTGGGTCAGAATTGTTCACAATGATGCCTGTGTATCGTCCCTTTGTTCCGTCCTAGGACCTTAATCTTGAGATCTCGTTATACCGTTTTTTCCTTTACCTAGTCTTTTGTAGCACTACTGATACTGTTACTAATATTTCTACTACTGTGGGATTTGTTTTGAAATATTTTTTTCTCACTGTGTTAATGTGGTATGAGAACTTGAACTGATGCACAAATGTCTGATTCTATGTTGCCTATGACTGATTGGTTGAATTATATTGTTTTATAATTAACAGTTTAAATTACTTAATGATGTCATTTATCTGAACAGTATTCTATGTCTAAGTTGGTAGCTTTAGATTGTTGTTATTTTTTGCGTTTTCAATAAACTACATCTGGAGAGTACTTTTTCGTGGTACACTGTTTATTTGGCGATACCATAGTTTATGAACACACCAATCAGACGTAGGTCAGCAAGTCTTGGATTTTTGCACGAAATTCATGAGTTAATTAGACTGAATAGCATTTTGGCGTTATAATTGATGTCAGTTTGTGATGAAAACATTTAATGTTATTCCTAAACTCAACGTCCAAGTATAAATCGTAATCTTAACTTACACAAATTTACGTTTATTGAGCCCTAGTAAATAGTTGGACATTTTCAAGTTTGGTTTAACGTCGCTGAAATGTCGTCCATAAATTTTAGCTTGATCAAAAAAGCGTATAATGAAATGGAAACAGTGCGTCTATTGCTACGTAAGGCAAACTATAAATTCACTTACAAACAGGTGTTTGTATCCACGTTTTATGTCACATACTACTGACCATCAGAATCGCCCTAATGCTACTATTATCTTTAAGTTACTAGGAAAAGTGGATTAATGAAGCAAATTTCAGTGAAAAATAATGAGATACGGGTTTTTGCAAAACTTATGGAGTGGCGACGACATTACTGTAAAAGTGAGGAGTGGATTAACAGCCTATAAATACCTTACATTTTAAGACCAGCTCCCTTAGACACGAGCTCTGACTCCCAGTTAACTACTATGTAAATGGATTTACATTAATACGCAGGAAGATCGCTTCCAAATAACTATATCTGAAGTGCGTTAGGCGACCAGACTAGTTTATTGGTAGTGACGTGAAAAACTCTTATAGCAGTACCATAAACACGAGCAACTTATAGTAAGATGGTGGGTAAAAACAGCATCAAGTTTAATATAAAAAACTAACGTGTGCATATGAATGTTTGAAATGAAACAATAGGGGAACTCACTCGACAGCAAACGAAGGGATAGTAGGAGGATAATTATTGATCACAGCATTTGTAAGGCTGATCTTATTTTCGCTAACATTTGAAACAACACCAACAATTTTCCCCAGTTGAGATGACGTCAACTCAACCTTAAATCCAGTATACTGGCTAGTCATCGAGACACATTCAAATCAATATATTACCCCGCGTCTTGACTAGAGCTATTTAAACACTCGATTTTCGAATACCAATGGCATTTAAATTGCTGTCAGATCTTAAATCGCTGATTTCATTTTTTGTACCATTATTCCCGACAAAAATTTTATTTCATTGACTATAGTCATAAAACTGGCTCATGAAAGTTATTTATGTAAAAGAACTGGTTGGAACCTATCCATTACAGTTGACAAATTATTGACAGGTGAGCGTTATCTTAGATCTTCTAGCGGAAAGTATTTGTTGTTAGAGAGTTTTCTTCACGATCTGAGAAATTAAAACACATAATAGCAGAAGTACTGGATAGCTCATTCGAGTAAAATTCAGTTGATACTAGACTTATTCATCGTCATGGTTATTTGGACCTAAAGTGGGCTACTCTTTCTCAGTCTCAAATTTTTAGCACATTCCTCGAAGTATGCCTGTGCTAGTTAGATCAGCAGGACAATGATGGTGCATCGGCTTTTTTGTTATTACATGCTCACATGATTTATCCTAATTTCTGAAGACTTTAATAACTCAAGAAGCATGTGGTTAATGAACCGTTATTACATTACTCAGACTGTTCTAGCTAACAGATTCTGTAGAAATACATTTCTTACTGAAGTAATCGAGACACACTATTACATACCTGTTTGCAATGGCCATTCAAGAACTTTGAATCCTTGAACTAATAAATAAAGATGCTAGAAAAAATGACAGAAGGAAATGAAATATATTTCAGGCTGCCGAAGAAGCTAATACCTCTCACGGAACCCTTGAATATATGTTTTGATTTTTCAGTAACTCAATGTAGGTTATGAAGTAACTGTAGGATGTTTATAGCATGTCTCGTTTTTAAAACATTTTTCAATCTAATCCTTGTAATTCTCGTTCGGTTAGCCTGATATAGATTAGTTGCTAACATTTTAACGTAGCTTACTTTGGGAAGATTATTGAAATATTTGACGGGAACGTTAATAGATTTTACGAATCCCCATTGATTTGTAACGTTTTATTCGGCTGAATAATATATCACACCTGTATTGGCAACTCTTCACAAGAAATAGTTTCTCAAGTCTTCGACATTGTGCCTGGCTCTACCAATTTTACTGAGCACACTCCCAACTAGAGGTTATCAGAAAACCACCTTTACCGACCTAGTTTTGTCTCCCATTTGCTGCATATAGCTTACGATATCTAGTTAGCTTAGGTTACACATACTTCCAGAATTCAAATATAATGTCTTCTTATCCGTCATACTCGAGTTCTAGTTTGGTTCTCACTATAACTATTGTGAAAAACGAAGTTTCGGGTGGTAGCTTTGAAAATCACTGGTCATCCGTATTACCTACATACCTATTTTTCCATTGCTATGTAAAGACAAATTGTTTCATTTTTTCGTCCACCTAACAGTCAAACTAGCCGTATTTCTGAATGATCTTTATTTTGATGGCTGTGAGTACATGTGTTTAACATTCTAAGTATAAGATTGAACTGCATGACATGTACAGAGCTGGCTTGTAGCACGAGAAAGTCGTAATGTGTGATTTGTAGTAAATCATCCGTAATTTAAAAGCAATATAAAAGTTTAAAAGTTAGGGTTTCCATCATTTGTAAATGTTTAGTCAGGTTATGTACTAATAAAGGCTCTCGAAAGACAATACTTGATAAGATAAATTACCTATGGGAAAACTATTGATTATACGACATATATCTAAACGAAGTGCCTATTACGAGAGAAAACACAAGAATATAGAACCTCAGGAGAATGACGGATGCGAAAATGGATCAACACCATTTTCCGTCATTTAAGAGGAATTTTGAAAAACTGGTTTAGGACTTGTTACATGCTTGCGTATGTGACTGCGATACCACAACTGCTAATTTTTTTAGCATAGTAAGAATGTTTAAAGTGTCACTCATGGATATTTCAGGTCATAATATTACGAAATTGCAGCTATGAAAATTGGGAAGTGTCTAGGAAGCAACAGTGGATTATTTGCTTACTTACGTACTTAGGCCCGTTACCCTTTGTGGTAGAATACAGTCCACCCACCAGGATTCTTTAACCAACTCTGTCCTGGACAATCCTTTCGGATTGTTACTTTATAGTGGCATTGGACCATAACCACACAATCCTAAAAGCTGAATACGAGATTACTCGGAAAATAGATATTCAATATTTAACGCGAAGAAATACCTAACGATGGATAAGGCGCGAATAATGAACTGAATGGACTGGAGTTGATCGGATGGCATGTCTCGGCCATGCAGGCGTGGTCCATCTGAATGTTACCTTGTATCTTCTATTTATATTAAATATATTGTTCCTTCTCTAGCCTAACCTTGCTCTACATCATGTATTGGTAATTGATACGATACAGTGAGTTGGTGTAGTCGATGGTGTGACTTCCACGTAAGATCTTATAGATTAGGCAGTTATATCATGACAAATCTACAATTTTAGGATTAGGTCTATTATTAGAGCAGTACTCATATCACAGTAGACCATAATTTCACATTGGTAAGCCCGACTAAAGAAACGCAGCCTATTACTAATAATACTTATTTCCACTTTAAACTTCTTGATGGATTTTATATTTATGTTAACCAAGTATTCTTATAGTCCTCTGATTATTGCTCACATGCACTGTGGTAATGTTATATTGATTATTTCTCATAATATACTAGCTCAATCGATAGTAAAAACTGGTCGTCTATATTAACTAATTAGCCTTGATTGTTCGTTAACAATCTTTAATAGCACTTACGTGCTTCAGCGACATAGTCTTGCTTAAACACCAAGCTTTAGAAAATATGACCTGTAAATAACGTAAATATACATTGACTAGCAACGTAAGCAAGGACTGAATAGTTATCGGGATCTAATTCTTAGTGCTCCCTCACACAACACATCCTGTTTTAAACTATGTACTATCCTGTAATATCTTTTCATACGATCACTCCCTGCCTAATTTCATATTTTCGAGTTCCATTGCCAAACAACAAGGGTGACACTCCTCCAAAAACATACGATGGCAACCACACAATTATTTGGATTCATTCAGTTGTTCTGATCAGAGCGAGTCCCAAAAACGTCAACAGCATCAAGCATCCTGGAATTAATTGCCATACTGCATGTTTTATTCTAGATACTTTTGGATCATTATTGCTCCTCACGAATGGCGTTATATATGTCGTCCACTGAATAATCTGATTTTCAAAAATAACCCAAGCGAGTTCAACTATTTTACTTAGTGATTTTTTATACTTAACATGTATGTTTTCCAGTTGCTTTTGCCATATATTTGTAAGTGTCCCTAGGCTAAAAGCAGTACTAATATCACAGTAGACCATAATTTCACAACTTATCCTATCGATGTGTACTCTCAAGTCCCGACGCAATGTGTTCCTTGATAATCCTCTTTTCCTCCTCCACCCAGGATTCCAAGTTAGCTCTTGTCTCGTGATGCAGTCTGATGATTTCCACAATGTATCTTATCCAGAGTTTTTTCCTAATTTCCTATTCAGATGAAAGTTTACTTGTTCTCTATCACAGTAGGCTGTTGCCGATAGTGTCCGGTCAACGGCCAAGTGTCGGTCCCCAAGCTCGGGCAAAGGAGGAGGGTTAGACACGGAGTCAGCAACCTGCGTCCCGTAGATGACAACCCTGCCAAAAAACTTTAGTCAGAATGAAGAATTATGGACAACAAGCCTATAAACAGAAAGCTCACTAAAGAAATAGTTCATGGCATATTCGATAGAATCAACTGAAAGATTTACTCTTGGTATGAAAATATTATATGGTACATTGAAGAAACTGCGGGGTAAGATCCCACAGCTTGAATTAACGGAATAATTTACTTATAATGTGAATCGCAACTCAAACCGAAGTTCAAACATGATCGCGGGCATTTATTGATTGCCACATGATAAATTGTTGCTTATGTTCAAACTCTATGATAAGTCATAACATTTGGTGGTCAAAGTTAGTTGCCCAATGGGTTTGTTTCGTGTTTTCTGAGTGGTCCCTCTAAGTGAAACTATGAAGGAGGATGTATAGTAGGCTTCTCTCTTATGAACTCGGTGTGTCAGTATATTATGGATTTTGGAGGGAATTTAGTAATTAAAATTGCTTGTTATAGTTGGTCTTTAATTTTTCAATAAGAATTTCTTTTATTATCGATTGTGACTTTCGATATATATATATATATATATATATATATATATATATATCTTCAATAAGTGTTCCTGATAATTATAAACATGCACATATTATTTGTGTGTCTATCAACTTACTGATCTTGTTCAATGTCCGTTTTCTTTCACATAGTATTCATTGATTGCTTGGAGATCCACTAATGCTTCCACCAGATAATATTTTGGACCAAAAGGCTGTGCCATATTCTGTTCGCGTCTCTTATCATCCGTCTGAATCAGAGGAGGAATATAATGCCTGTTTCCGAAGTATTCTCGTATTTGACTCATTTTGTTCTGCGATTTAATAACCTGTTTAAGTCGGCTAATGCAGAACTAATGGCCGATTTCTATTTTATCTCTCCTCGTCTGTACTAAGTGAAGTCAGCTAAAGATCAATAGATTCAAATAATTATGCTCTATATAACATGAAAGCAAGTTTAAACTATAAATTAATGTTTCAAATGAAAATTTCGGGGTCTTCTTTCCGAAACTGAAGGATAAGTGGCTTATCATATGAACTGTTACGACCTAAATACTAATATTCGGTCACAATTGATTGATCACTGGGTGGTGATCAATGTCGTGCTTGTCTAGTCCTTATTAGTGCAGATCAAATGCTATCGATCATGTTGCAATGTGGCCACTAGTCTAGGTGACTCGACACTGCGGGCACTATGTATTGAGATTTTAGATGGTGGTTGGAGGTAGTCAACAGGAAACCCTGGACCCGGGCACTCGTCAGCAAGGTGTACCTGCAATCTTGAGGGAACTGGTGCTCCCTGGCGGATTCGATCTCGTGTCACCCAGCTTC